TGGAATGGAACGTGGAATTCAGCGCAACCGATCTGCTCGTCGGCTTGCGGTTTCTCCCCAAATATTTTCCCCAGGCACCGGCCCAGCCGGGACTCGCTGAGACACCATCTCTCGACTATGCGGTAGTGTAGTGTAATTCATACGAGTGTGTGTGAGTAAGATGAGGGAGAGAACAAGAGAAAGGAAGGAAAGATCGCACCCGCTCCGTGTCCCATTCGTTAGAATACTCCCCAGGCATTCACCTGGTTCTGAAAAAAAAAAAAAACACAACAAACGGAAAACGATCACAGGAGACTGGCCGCCAAACGATCACAGGAGACTGGACGGTATCTAGCTTTGGCAACCTAGCAAAATTACCTTCGGAACTCGAACCCAAGGACCTCTCGGTCAGCGGCGTTGCAGCAGCAAGTGCATCTTGACACTCAATCACCTCCGCATTACGCGTTTTTACGCGTTACGTTTAAATTACGTGAATTTAAATTGTCTGTAATTATTTTTTCAATTACGGTTTGATTACGGAGGTCTTTACATAGAATGTTGATGGAAATAAAAGAAGAAAGATGAGTTGAAGGATGAAAGAAGAGATGAAAGAAGAGATGATTAATGTATAAATTAAAGTCTTGTTTGTATTACAAGATTACACTAACACAACCAACAAAACTGTCAAATACGAAAAGAGACTCAAGCATCAAATGTATTGAATATTTTTTCGTCTCATTTAGTGAATTTAAAAAAATACCAACCAACTTAAAATATATGTGAGATATATTATATGTAATCACAAAACACAATAAAACATGTTTTACAATGTTCACATGCTTACAAAAATTAGAAATAAATCAAAAATTCATTCTTTAGGTGAACTATAAGAATCAATGATAAATATAATATTTTCTTCGAGATTTGAAAATAATACAATTAAGTTGAACAGTAGCAAAATTTTGATTCCTTATTGTATCCTCTCAGCTTATTCCATAAGTATATCCGGAATTAAATGGGAACGTTATCAACTTGTTTCGAAAGTCAAGCATGCAAAGTGATTTTCAGAGATCGCTCCTGCTTTAACAATTTAGTCGATCGCTAGTGCTTTAGTGATATGAAATCCAAATTCGCGGTCATCCCCTATAGACCTGGCCATCTTCCCCTCTAGTTATGAGTTTGACTGCCAGAGAGCAAGAGCCAGGTTTCAGCCCTCGGCCCCCAGACTCGCTGCCGCGGCCCCCAGACACAGCAATCAGCTGCGTGGCACAAATTTATAAATACTCGCGCACGCAGCTAAACGGCGCAGAGTTGAGTCCCCCTTCTGCATTGGCGAGGTCTGCCCGAACTGGAGGGCTATGAGTTGGTTGAAACCGAATAGAAAGGGTCGAAATATCGAAGGGACAAAGTCGAAATAGTTATATAAGGTGACGCGGGTGAATAATCATTCGTTCAAATCGTAATGGCAGGACAGTTCGTTTAGGAACTTTCTTTTTACACAGTCAGCACTCGTACCGACGCGGACGACATTCACAGCATCACGTCACAAAGGGAGAACTCAGAGGGCATGAAAGAGGTAAAATAATGCTGAGCAGACGTGAAGAGAGAGGGAGAGAGGAGGGGAGGAAGGATGAGAGGAGGAGAGATGAGTGGAGAGACGAGAGGAGGGAAAGAGAGAGGGGCAAAAAGAGATCAAAGAAGGGGAATGAGAGGGAATGTGAGAGAAGAGAAAAGAGAAGAGAGGAAAGAGAAAGGAGGACATGAGAAGAGAAGGGTGTAAGGGTATAAGATGACCGGAGGGAAATAGGAAAAAGAGGATGACAAGAGAGAGAAGATAAAGTTTAGAGAATAATAGAGTCAAAGGGAAAGAGAGTAGAAGAGCGGAGAGTAAACAGGAGGGGAAATGAGCCGAGGATTTGACGAATATTTGGCGCTTACAAGACAGGAGGGGAAGAGAGAGTCGAGCAGGACAGGAGCAGAACAGGGGAGAGTAGGGAAAGAGAGCAGAGGAGAAGATAGAAAAATGAAAAGGAAATAGGAGTGGAGGAAATGAGGCGAGGAGACGAGCGGAGGGGTGAGGGCGAGGGCGGGGGAGGTGCGGACCTTAGCGGAGCGCGCTTTCTTGGGCGCGTCGGGCGGCGTCTGCGGGCCGGAGGGCGCGGAGCTGCACGTGCCGCGGCGCGCGCGCTGCCCGCAGGCACATCTTGATGCAAGAGCGGGTCGAGCAGGCGAGTGGGCGAGCGCGGGCCGGCGCTACGTGGGCGCGGGCGCAGGCGACCGGGCTCGAGAGGCCGTCTCGGCGGAACTGCACGAGCCGGGGCGGGGCGCGCCGGCCGGGGCCGGGCGCGCGCGGCGCAACAGCGTGAGCGCGCACGGCGCGGACGTCACGACCTCAGTGGGCCGCGCGCCCGCCGCCCCCCGCTGCTGCCGCCGCTGCCCGCGGCGTCGCACTGTCACGCCCCCGGGGCCGACGCTACTTAGCGAACCCCTATGCGCCCGGCACCGCTACTCGTGCTTACGTGTATTAATTTTGTTGCTGCCGACGAGTCAACTGCTATGTCATTAGTTTCCACCTTTAGTGCTGTTATCGAGAGGTGATGCGATATTCGGCATACACGTACTTATCGGTTTCTCTCCCTTCCGACAGCGGGGCCACGCCTCAAACGGGACAAGCTCTAAGCTCCCAATTGGTCACCAGGGATGTGTGATAGTGTAGTACTTATGAGTGTGAGTGTGAGTAAGCGGTGATAAACAAGAAAGGGGAAGGAAAAATAGCGCGCGGCGTACTGACCGGCATTCACCTGATGGAAGAAATCAAGGGAAAATAACCAGAACAGCCGACCGCCACAATTCTCCTCCAGACAACGGCTGAATTCGATCTAGCTATCTAGCTAGTGTCGAACATCCTGACACCCTCGGGACTCCAACTCAAGGACTACCCGACCAGAGACACATCAATGACATTCATTGATGAACTGAGCCACCTCAGCTGATCTTACTCGCTTCTAGAACTCCTTAAGCGGCAAACTACACCGACGACATTCGATTGATTGATGGGCGCGTTAGCTGCTATGGTGATTAAAAGCCCGTAAGTGTAGAGCAAGTTATATCGCGGAAGGTGGCAGTGATCTTCCCCTACTGGATGCTGAGTACTGGAGCGACGCCCCCGTCGGCTTACGGACTTTTACTCAAACAGTATCTCCCTCCAACGCGGCACCGCCCCAGCCGGAGCAAGCTGTAAGGCCCCAACTGGTCTCCCTGCACATGTAGTAGTGTTGCGCATATAACTGTAAGTGTGTGTAAGTAAGGGGAGAGGAGAGGACTAGGACGAGGAAGGAAAGGCCGCGTGCGGTCCGTGGCCAATTTTTTAGCGTACTGCTCCGTCATTCGCCAGATATTGAACAGAGAAAGCACGGAAATCTACCGATCATAGAGCCAGCCACTATTTGTTCTCCAGACAGTGGCTGAAACCGACCTAGCAATACAGATAGTGTCGAAAATCCCGCCACCGTCGGGACTCAAACCCGAGGGGGACAGAGGCACTGCAGGGATATCAACTGATGCTCTGAGCTGCCTTAGCTGGTAATCGCTTCTCGACTTGCGAAAAGTCCAACAAAACCTTAAGTATTGATAATCAGATAAATATATCTGAGGAATGGATAACGAATAGTAACAACGTTCTTCGGCAAATAAAAACAGCTCAAACAGAAATAGGGCAGATGAATTGATTGATGAATTGATTGAATCGTTTGGATATTAATTTGAGAATTCAGGCAAACGAATAAAGACGTCTTGCGTTTTTTCTTCTTTTCTTACAATTCTAAAAGATTTTTTGAAAAATCTCTAAGACGTTTCTGCAGAAATTCAGGATTATGCGGACGATAGCTTGGAAAGCTCAGAAGTTGAAGGACGAAAACTTCAAAAGCCTTTTGCAGAGCATGCACTGATATGTCTCCATCACTTGATAGGGGATATCCCCGAAAAAGTGTGACGAATAATGGCCGCCATGCGTACTTCAATATAACCGGCCGCATTTCAGCTGGCCTCAGAACGACATGTGCACTGTAGCAAAACTGCCAATATTAAAAAATAAACGTATCACAACATAAACCATTTGTATATATTCCAAATAAATGATCGGCAGTGTTTATCATGTTTCTAAGCAAACTATAGAATTTTGGAAGTTGAAATAAAAATTTTCCATACACTCGCATTGAACAATATTTGACTTTCCTTGTTAAAGTATTCTGACCGTTTTTATAAACAAGACACCAGAATTTTATTTTTCAAGTAATTTATTCACGTTTTGACCATAATTGGAAACTATTTCAAAAAATGGTCACGTCTAGATTTGTTAGAAAGACTTAGTAAGAAATTAAAATAGATATCATTTTATTATTACAAAATATAAAAAATTGTCGATCTTATAAAAACCACGGATCTATAGATGCGAATTGGTTAACTTCAAATTGGCAACTGACTATACGCGACAATTGTCTGACTGATACATTTATTCGTGTTTTTTATAATATTAACAACGGTTTATAAACAATGCTACCTGTTTTAAATGTTTTACAAGATATCAGATGCCCGTGGCCGAGCAGCGGGCGCGTGTACCTGCAGCCTCTTGCGGAAGCGGTGGTTCTCGCAGGCGTACTTGAGCAGCGCGGTGGACGAGGAGTAGAGGGGCAGCGCGTGGCCCGACGGGTGGAGCAGGAGGGCGTCGGCGTCGCGCCCCCCCGCCGCGCTCCGCTGCCGCCCGCATCCTCCTCCAGCTCGGCCCGCACGCCGGCCGCTCCTCGCCGCCGACGCGAACGCGCGGCAGGCGCGCCGGGCGCGGCACGCGCTCGCGCCACGGCCTGGACGGCACGGAAGGGCGGGGCGCGCACGGGGTGCAGGCGGCGCGCCGTCCGCCGCCGCGGCGCCCTGGCCCAAGCCCGTGCCTCGCGTGCCTTCTCTAGCCACGACGACAAGCTCCCCAACACGATCGGAATTTTTATTTTTCAGAATGTTCGAGCCGTCATGGATAGCTCCCGGATATAGTGCTCAAGGAAAAAGTCCCCGACACAAACTGTGTTGTGTTACTGCCTAGAAAAATGGACGGACGGGTGTGCCATGTGAATATGCTGAAGCAGTATCATCAGCGGACTGAATACATCAGCTACGTGACAACACCGGTTCAAGGCTGCGAGCAGGTAAAGGACGAGATAGATAGATATGCCGTTCACCTCGATGCGAGCGACTTCAGTCTCCAGGAAATGCTCGAAGGTACGAAAATCGCGCCCGAGTTCAGAGACAATTTCGAGCGATTAATCGTGAAGTACCACGACATATTTTCAGAAAAACCTGGACTGGCAGATGCGCTTACGACGGACATCGAGCTCTCAGACGAGCCAACGTCCGTGCGTAGTGCACCTTATCGTACCTCGCCTAGACAATCAGCTACTTTGCGAGACGAAATTAGTAAAATGCTACGCGACGGCATTATTGAAGTACGTGATAGCGAGTACACGTCACCTATGACACAAGTCGACTGTGATACTAGGGTCGGAAGCCTCGCCCTTGTATCGATTATAGGCGATTAAACAAATTAATCAAGACAGTATTTTCCATTACCTAACATGGAAGAGCGGATCGAGAAGGTAACGGCAGTCAAAATAATCACCACTCTTGATTTAGCGAAATGCTACTGGCAAATTAGTTTAACGCCAAGAGCGCAGAGGCTGGCTGCATTTGTCACTAACTTTGGGACATATCGCCCACTGCGATTGCCCTTTGGCCTAAAGAACGCGCCATATCAATGCAGTAGAATGATGGCCGCACTTTTAGCGCCGTGTAGTGAATACGCAGTTCCGTACATATATGACATAGCCATATTCAGTAACTCGTGGAAAGAGCACTTGCAACACATGCAAAATGTTTTTTTCGATTCTCAAACAGGCAAAACTACATGTGAAACCCAGTAAATGTATGTGCGCTAGGGAATCTGTGAAATATTAAGGCTACGCAGTAGGAAACGGGGAAATGCGCCCTGTAGAAGCAAAAGTTCAGGCAATTCGGGAGTTTCCAAGGCCGAACACGAAAAAATGTTTTCTCGGTATGTGCGGGTACTACCTGAAATTTATTCCCAGATTCGGCGAGATTTCAGCTCCGTTATCGGATTTCATACGGGGGAAGGAACGCCAAGAGACGGTAAATTGAAATCCAGAATGTGAAAGAGCATTTAATACGTTGCATGAAGCTTTATGTTGCGAACCTGTGTTAAGAGCACCCGACTTTGCGAAACAGTTCCAAATACAATGAGATGCAAGTCAGAGAGGAATAGGTGTAGTTTTAGCACAAACTGACGAGAACGGCGATGAAAAACCTATTCTATATTCAAGCAGAAAACTGACAGATGTAGAAAATTTCAGTACAGTTGAGGCTGAATGTACAGTAATGATTTGGGGATTGCAGAAATTGCGGTATTATCTAGATGGACAGGTGAAAATTAAGATCAAAACTAATCTTAACCCATTAGTATGGCTGGCTGGCTAAAATTGTTCTGGGAATAATCCAAGATTATTGAGATGGTCGTTAATGCTGCAACATTATGATATCGAAATTGCCACAAAAAGGTAAAGATAATAGGAATGCTGACGCATTAACTCGGATGTTTTCATGAACCTGAACTGATCTCGTTAGGTAAATGATGGTTCCAATTTATATTGTATAGCATCACCTCAAGATGTTTATTATGTAAATAATCTCAGTCAAGATTTTTATTATGTAAACTATATATCCCTACCCACGACGTTACACTCCCAACAGGTCTCCAGGCATGAGTCGTAGAATACTAGTGCATGTACATGTAAGTGTGTATAAGTAACGAGTGTGAAGGGAGAGGAAGGAAAGATCGCGCGCGGTCCATGGCCTGTTTGTTCCTTTGTTGATCGGAGAAATCGTGGAAAACTACCGTTCAACCAAGTCCACCGCTAGAATTCTTCCCCTAACGATGTGCGGCTGACTTCGACGTAGGTATCTAACTAACGTAGAAAATCCTGCTGCGGTCGGGACTCAAACTGTAGGTCCTCCTGGTCAGAGGTACTGCAGTGACATCAGTTGATGCTCTGAGCACCTCAGTCGGTGAACCCATTTTTGATCTTCTCGTACCCAGAGGCCTTCAAAAGATTCACGGGGTTGCAGCTTTCAACCCTAAGAAGGCACGACGGAAAATCGGTCGAGCGTGTCCGCCCCCTCTCCGCTCTGATACTCAAACTCCGTACTGGGAATACGCATCCCCTGGCCAAGGTTCAGGCTCCTAAACATCTCGTTTATCCAACAACAGCGGACCGGTCAGTTATTCTCACGCGCCTATCAAAGACCAAATGTTTATGTCAAAAACACAAAACACGTATTGTTCATCTACTTATGTAGTCGCAAAACGAATCTCTTTAAGGTTTGGTTTCTCAGCAATAGTTATTGAATCCATAAACACGGCCTACGAACACAATTGCGTACTCTCTGCAAGTTTCACCGAGTTTCTAAGAAAACGTCTCTGACATTTTCTTATTCCTGTAGAACTCTTTGTATATGCATTTCTAATTTAGGATACGTACATATCCATTCCTATAACGTGTACTCCGAAATAGAAAACGCAAACCCAGTAAGTTTCTTCGACGGAGACAGTGGAGTTTCGTATCCCCAAACATATAGTAAGTGTATGTTCGCAATGGTTAATTTAAAAGATACTTGACACCATTCTTCATTGAATGTATTCTTCCGATTCAAATGGAAGGAAATTTTGATTTGTGTAACAAGAGACATAATTCAATAATATAAATATCAGGAGCATTTTCAGTTTAACCTGACTTTAAAAGCTATTTCAATTTGTTCTTTTATTTGGACAATATTAAAAAACGAAAATTGCTTTTTTATAATTCAACATTCCTAATGAGGTGTAGTTTTTTTGCTAAATACAAAATTAAGCTGCTTAAAATTAACTCGAAAAATACTTCATCCCGGGAAAACAAAAGGAAGAAACAAAGGAAACCCTTGCGCGCAACTACATATGAAGTTGCTTCTGTAATTTCATCATCAGTTTCCAGCTATTTTTCTCACGTTTTATAGTACGTGAGAAACGTACTGGTTAACGTCAATAAGTAATCAAATTCCAACTCACGGAGAACAGTACAAAATGCGAAATCCGATTAATATAGTTTCACAACTCATAAAACAGCGAAATAGAAAACTGCTAACATATATGTATATCATAATATCATCCTAAATCAACAGAAAAAATCAGCAAACACTTCACATTCCGCAATTTAAGTTTACAGTGATGCGCCAAATTAGTCTGACACTGAATTATACTACTGAAAATATTTCCGTGAGCCTTTACGCTAATTTATCTAGCCTCGTTGAATATTCGTCAATTCAATTTGTCTTTGGTGAACTCGAGTGTTTTTAAAGTTCATTAGATTGTCAAGAGGCACGTCCCTTGTTTGTTAGTTATTTGCAATCAGGAGTAAAAAGCTCAGCAATATAATGCAAACGATTTCCCATCGCTTTAGTTAAACAATCAAAATATGACTTGATGATACAAACTGTTGCACGATACAAGTAGATTTAGTTAGGTTATTACACGTAAAAATAACTTGGAAACGTTGATTGGCAGATTTACTGAGTACATACTTTGTACATACGCAGTAACTGATGCAAAATCTTGCACAGTTACTATCGCTTAACACAGTTACACTTAATATCAAACAAAATATTCATATTCTCTCATGTTTCCCACAACATACTACATGTGCTAGTGTTTAAGTAATTAGCTACAAATGGCACAGACTTTCCCGTGCTAGTTTTCTACTTCCTATGGTATCAGTAAGTTATTCGGACTTGCCACATACTCTTGCCAGCCGCCCATAGTACATTTTTTTTAATCTTCTCAATTTTTCGCTTTCCTAACAGTAGAACGGAAATATTATTTTAAGAATATTAAAAAACAGTAAAACCTCATCCTAAATGGCAATTTTCTTGGAAAAATTGGAGTTGTTTTTATGAAAAAGGCGCTTAAGCGCTACTGCAAATTCGAAATTTTTAAAGTTATTTTTCACAGAACATTTTTAAGAAACAGAAAAGCTTTATTAGAAATCATTTAACGCACATTAACTCACAAATAAAATAGTGTTTACAAATTTCTGGAAATGTGCATATTAACGGTCTGACAGATCAAAAAAAATACATTTGTATAATTTTAGAAAAAACAACTTAAAATGAATTTTACGTCATGTAAAATAGAGCAATTAGTACTATCCCTTCGAAAAGTTCGAAGACAAAATTTGCATCCCTTTTTGGAGAAAATGGCGTTTGTGCGTTTCTGCGGAGCTAGTTTTCACTGAAAATGGTTGAGTTTTCGAGAAACATTGTATTACATTATTTACAGCACATGTAGTCGTAAATATAAAAATGTGAACAAATTTCCGCCAGTATCAATATTAACAACGTGAGAGATACGTCAGAAAAATTCCATTTTTGGAATTTTTGAAAAAAACAAAAGAATAGAGCCATATGGCGACTATGGCATCTCATGCAGTGCATTTAGCATTATATCTATCAAACGTTTATAGAAAAAAAAATGGAGCCGTCTTTGAGAATAATATCGCTTCGTAATTTTTTTAAATTACAAATATTGCACGCAATATTGCGAAAAAAATACTAAAAGTTTCAAAGAATGTACATTACCTTAGTGAAAGAACTAATTACAACAAATTTAATCTGCATTTCTATCTTCAATTTTGTAGTTGTAGGATGACGCCGAAAAAAATCATACTTTTGAAATTTTCGAAAATTCAGAGTTAAACGTGAAAATTGTACCTATGCCATTTTTATAATTTTTATGTTACTCTTTTCTTATAAAAAAATTAAAGAAACAATTTGGAGCCGTTTTTTAGAAAGTTTTGAAAACATCCGGAAGGCTTCGTGTATAGTACCCTCAAATTTTAAAGAATGTTTTTAAAATATCAAAGCTTCGACTCGAGCCAGATGGGCAGGGGCTTCTTCAATTTGAAAAAAAACTACATATGGTTTTGACGCTAGTTGTGTTCACAAACAGGCGGACGTTTTGCCATCAATTGATTTTTCGGAATCAAGGGCCCACAAAACAGAGATTCTGGCTACACCACATGCTAGAGATTTTTTTTTTAATTTAGCAACTGGTTTTCTCCATTTTTTCGTTATCAGTGCTCGGCAAATGAACTTTCTTCTGCCGACAATCCGCCGTTGTTTCGCGCAGCATTACATAACTTTCCCTATACTACGTATATTACTCCGTACGTATACGTACGTATTATGACGTACTTGTAAGGGAAAGTAAAAATTGTGTAATTTAATAAACGTATGCACAAAGTTCCCAAAACATACGCAAATTCAACTTAAACGTCATATAAGAATTCAAGTTGTTGCCGACATGAGTTATGGTAATTTGTCCTGTCGAGTTTCCAGCTACTATTTGCAGCATTTCAATTACAATTAGGAGTGAAGTAAATATAAGGGATTATTGACATTCTCCGAACAACAGTCACCCTAGTTCTCAGCCATGGGAGAGCTTGCCGTTGTTTGCACCCACCAGCACCGACGCCGGCACTGCAGAGGACACGAAAGAATCCGAGAGAGTGGCAACACAGCGCGGTGAGAGCAGTAATGAGCCGCCAAATATTTGCGGACACAGTGACCGTTGCAGAGAAGTGCACTTCCGTAAGCAGCGCATGTAGAGTTCGCGCGAGATATTCGCGTACCCAAGTTAACAGCCCTAGCGAGACACATGAGGAGGGAGTTACTTCGCATGCGCAGTAGAGCCTTCTACATATATTATCGCTGATTAGAAAACGTCGGTTTACCTAATTAGAGCTACGGTTTATAATGGTACATAAATTTTTTTTGGCGGCGTTAGTAATTTATTTCACTGTTTTTCTTGGGTGCTTTCTTATATGAAAAGGGAATGTCATTTTTTTGTGCCTAGTCTGCCTATCGAAAAGCTAGAGAGTCGATATCTTTGAGACAGCATTCAGTGTAGCCAATGCCCTCTTTGTGACGTCAGATGTGTGCGGAGATTCGTCGCACTAAGTCTGGAAGTATGATTGCTACTCTTGCGTAGTCAACACGTGGGGTCGATTTCTTTATTATATATATATATATACGAGAGAGAGGAGAGACGAGAGAGAGAGGAGAGAGAAAAAGAGAAAAGAGAGACGAACCACAAGCCGAAGAGAAGAGAGAGAGAGAGAGAAACCCGAAATGCTTTAACACGAATTTTACAGAAGCATTACGCTTAGCATCATTCTCTTTTTGTAAAAACTATTAATGCGAATGTGAAATAAATTAATAGAGTTATATTCACATTTTGCGTAGGAAAAAACCGCGTCATAGGCCCGTGCGCAGAGGAAGGCACGTGGTCGAACCGTGGGCCACTCTGCCCAAGATTTTAGATAAGGCCTTTCGTAGAGCTTAATGTAATAAAACATTTTTAGTCCTTCAACAAATGATGAATTTTCGCTGCTTTCCAGGTATATATATATATATATAATATATATAATAATATATATATAATAATATATAATTTATATACTTAATTAGAGGCATTAAACTGGATTCGGATCGATCATTGCGTCAGCGATGAC